TTCAAACCCACCAGCCACTCCCCGGAAGGAAGGTTGGGCAATCCTACTTCCGTAGTGATACTGCCTCGGAAACCCAAGGAGGGGTCGCTATGAGTCGGGACCGACTCGACGGCAAACAACAACAACAACAACAACAACATTGTTTTATGTATTTGACTTTTATTAGATGGTTTTGTAACCATCTTGACTAACTCCTTACACAAATACAGGCGCATTGAGACAATTTGATAGGTTAAGTGACATGGAAAGCAGAATGCAGAGTCTTTAAGAACACAACCTTTGTTGCCGGATGGGTTTGAATTTAGATTGATCTCTGCCACTTAAAGCTTGTCTGAAACTTTTGACAACTTTTTTTTTTCAGGGAGCCTCTCTAAACCTCAAATTTCTGGTCTGTAAAATAGGGATAATACTTACCTAAAAGAATTATATAACATGTATTTCTCATCCCCAGTCTCTAGTTCTCAATGAATGACAGCAATGACTATGTTAAATCAGCATCATGCCAAAATTACTGGTCAAATAAGAGTTATAGCCACTGCTATTGCCTATTAGAGTTGATGAAGTATATTATGAAGCTATAGATTTATGTTACTATTGTTTCTCTGCCACTGGTGAGGAAATAAAAAAGAAAAAAGAATAAGTAACTATATATTATTTTACTATTTCTTTGAAAAAAAAATGGCTTTGAATACTTTTGAATGAAAGAAATACAACATTAAACATAAGCTTAAAGTTTCATTTTTTTCCTCTCCACTCAAACTTTTCTCCCTTCCCAGGAGCAAACATCACCACAAATTTGGTATGCATTGTATATGTGTAGCCTTACATAGTTTGAGTATTGTTTTTGGCATTTTTAATTTTTGTTTTGTGTGTCTGTTTTATTTTTGCCCATTATAACATATATTATTATTCTACCACTTGTTTTATTATGTCATTTATCCATTTTTAAACATGCAGATTTAGTTCATTCGTTTTAACCACTGTATGCATATTTTTTGCCAGTTGAATGGATGTGAAATGGTATGCTCCCTTCTTTCCTTCCCTTTTCCTGCTTCTTTTTTTAACAAACAAAACTTTTCAGTGCATATCTTTTCCTGTGTCTCTTAGTACCCACATACATGAGTTTCTTTAGGGCTTGTAGATAGAATTATATCTGGTCAGAGAGAACTCTTATTTCCAGCTTTACTAAAACAAAAACCAAAACTCACTGCCATGGAGTCGGATCTAACTCATAGTGATTCCCCCTTGGATTTCCAAGACAGTTTCAGTAGGGAGGTAGATTGCCCAATCTTCCTTCCAAGGAGTGGCTGGTGGATTTGAACGGCCAGCCTTCTGGTTAGCAGTCAAATGCCTTAGGTACTACGCCACCAGAGCTCCCTCTAGACATTGCCAAATTGATCTCCAAAGAAGCTGTACTGATTTATTTACCTTCCCACTGACAGAGTATAGGTATACTTGTTTCGCTGTTCTAATCAGTTCATGGTATTGACTGACTTTAAAAATTTTGCCAGTTGAATGGGTGTGAAATAGTATCTTGCAGTTGTTTCAATTTTCATATGACTGTCTTCAAGTGAGACCAGCCATGCTGTTTTGGTTACTTTGTGCCGCTCTAACAGAAAAATACACCACAAATGGGATGGCTTTAACAAACAGGATTTTATTCTGTTACAGTTTTGGAGGCTAGAAGTCTGAGTTCAAAGTGCAAGACTCTAGGCTGTGTGAAAGCCCCTCGAGCTTGGGCTTCAACTCCACCTCTTGCTCCTGGCCCACTGAAGCTAGAGGCATCTCTTCACTCAGGCAGCTGCTGGCTGCTGAGGCTAATAAATCCAAGGTCAACAAGTAAAAAGGCACAATCCCTGATATTACCAAACCATATGGCAGACCGTTGATTCAAGTCCATTAAAAGTCCCAAGATAAGCAGAGCATGGCAGGCTGCTGAATGAAGTCTCAGCTACATGCAGGGTCCAAATGTGCCAAAAAACTACAGAAGGTTCCTAAAGCTTCTCCTTATATCCTGGGAGCAGATCACATCCATAGGCAGCTACTTAGCTGCTCACAGAAGATTCCATCATGGACCTGATTTCCAGTCTCACCATGGGGAATAACTATATCCAGCTGCCCAGCCACTCAAAACCAGGCCCAGTCCAGTTGACACATAACCTTAACTACCACACAAGCTTTCACTTGTTTGTATTACCTGTAATTGCTTGTTTAAATCTGATGAACAGCTTTCTAGTGACTTGTCTTTTTCTTATTGAGTTACAGAAATTTTGTCTTTGTTCTTAATATATGTTGAATGTTATATCCATTGCATGTGTTGAACATATCTTTTCTCAGTCAATTGCTAAGCTTTTCAATTTATTTATTTATGGTATCTTTGCTTGTAAAGAAGTTTTAAAATCTTACATGCTTCAGTTTATTAATCTAGTATTTATCATTTTTGTATCTTCTTCATGAGGAGCATAAACATAACTCTAATGATTTTGTCCAATATTTTTAAGTTTTGATTTTCACATTTTGAACTTTAATCTGTCTGAATTTTTATTTTGTGTATAGTATTAGATAGTGATCTAATTTTTTTCCTATGTGGAAAACCAGTTGCTTGACATCATTTTTGGATAGTTAATCCTTTCTTTACTTTTTGTAATATCACATCTGTTATTGCATATTCCATGTTAGGTTCTAATACATGCTTAGGCCTTTTTGGAGTCTCTGTCTTTAATTTAGGAGTCCTTGGATGGTGCAAACAGTTACTGTGCTCACTGCTACCTGACAGGTTGGTGGTTTGAGTCCAATTAATGGTGCTCTGGAAGAAAGACCTGGCAGTCTACTTCCAAAAAATCAGCCATTGAAAACCCTATAGAGCACATCATTGAAAACCCTGTGGAGCACATTTCTACTTCAGCATGTGTGGGGTCAGCATGGATTAGTTGACTTGATGGCAACTACTTGGATTTCTTTCTTTTTTTGTCCTTAATTTATCCGTTTGTCTATCCCTGGGCCAATAGCATACTTTATTTAATAGAGCTTTATAAAAAGTCTTGATAGGGACAGGTCTATCTAGGTTCTTTCTACTTAAAGTTGTTTTAACACAATTATTGTAATAACAGTTTTATATGCAAGTCTGATTCATCCAACTTCATTACTCTAACATGATGGGAAGAATAGGAGAATTACATATATACTTTTTTTTTTAATAAAGTATCATAGAAGAAGAATAAAATGTTCAAAATAAATCCAAAGATACACATTGCTTTATATAGGTGCAATTTTGTAAAGCAGAGGGGGTGTAGATTTATTTGTCAATTTCAGACCAGTGAGATAGATTTAAAGGTAAACAAAAACTGATTTTTTATTTACAAGAGCAACATAAGGGCACCAGATAATTATAATAATTACTGACTTTAAAGGTGTATAGAGATGACATTTCAGATGGGAGAATGATTGCTTGTTTGTATGGTCTACTATGTGGTTTCTTTCTTTTAGACACACATTCCTCTCTTCTGGTTCAATGAAGATCACTGAGACCCGCATTTCAGATAGTGGAATGTATCTTTGTGTTGCAACAAATATTGCTGGGAATGTGACTCAGTCTGTTAAATTAACTGTCTATGGTGAGTTTTGAAATTAAATCATATGAAAACTCTGTGGACTGGCCACAGAAAAACTTATCTTCTCAGTTTCTTTGGTTTTTAAAATTAAAATTAAAAACCAAAAAAAAAAAACCAAACTCACTGCCATCAAGTAGATTTTGACTCATAGTGACCCCTCCTTGGGTTTCCGAGGCAGTATCACTATGGAAGTAGATTGCCCAACCTTCCTTCTGAGGAGTGGCTGGTGGGTTTGAACCGCCAGCCTTCTGGTTAGCAGTCAAATGCCTTAGGCGCTACACCACCACAGCCCCCAACTCTAATTAAATATGGAGTAATTATAGAAATATTTTCTATAGTCTGAGATTCCTGTGAGTTTCTTACCTATTACTCTGAAAAATTTACTTGCTATTTTTATGCAATTTCCCCCTTTTTCTTCAGCTGAACAGTGTTAAATTTTTGGATGTCAATTTTACTTAGCTGTCCAGTCACTTAAAATTAATATTGTTGATAAGGAAAAAAAATGTATTTAAACAGTAAGCTTTTTGTAAAAGTGAATATGAATTTCCAAGGGAGAACTTAATAATGTTTACATTTTCCTTTTTGATATTTAAGGAGCATAGCAAATGAATAATTATTTTGCTTCCTAAGATTTTTTGACTACTTTAAAACTTTATAGTTTGTCTGCTTTATTCTCCCAATTTACTCCATTTAATTATTCATTCACTCAATACATATATATTGAGTATACTCTCTGTCAGCTACTGTGTAGGTATTAGATACTCAAATATTGAAAAAATTTTCTCAAACAGTATTGACCTGATTTCTCTTTCAGACCAATCATTACAATAGTGCCCTATTCATCATGAGATTACCTAACCTCTCTCTCTAGCTTTCTTATACATATAAGGATAAAAATAGTACCAAACTTACAAGACTGTTATGATGGGCAGTAGAAAAAGGCTTTTTAATATTAAATTAAAAATAGGAGAGAGAAATAGGAGCTTTATAGAAAGGTAAGATAAATAAAGTCTAATTATATCCTTATGAGTCAATTTAATTCTACAATGTACAATGCACACAAATGTACAATGCACACATATAGATTATCGACAAAATTCTATTGTCATTATTTTGGTAATGTATCTGTTTAAATTTCTAAAGGAAAGTAGGTAAAGGGGAATAATAAACTCCCTACCTTGGTTATGAGCTCTGGTGGCATAGTGCCTAAGGCATTTGACTGCTAACCAGAAAGTTGGCAGTTCAAACCCACCGACTACTTCTTGCAAGGAAGGGTGGGCAATCTACTTCCATAGTGATACCGCTTTGGAAACCCAAGGAAGGCTCACCTATGAGTTGGATCCAACTCCATTCCATGCCAGTGAGTTTGATTTTTTTTGGTTTCCTACCTTGGTTAAAGGAGGTCTGGTTGTGTCTTGGGTAAGACATTTGGCTGATAACCAGAAGGTCAGTGGTTCAAACCCACTAGCTGCTTCACAGGAGGAAGATGAGGCAATCTACTTTCATAAATATTTACAGTCTTGGAAATCCAGTGGGGGTTGCTGTGAGTCAGAATCAACTCATTTGCAGTGGGTTTAATTTGGTTGGTCTGCTTTGATTATCTTCTATGAAATTGGCTAAGGTTTCTGTGAGAAACATTTCTCATTATCTGATGAAACCATCCACAAAAAGGCACTAAAGAAATGCTTTTTGGTTTACTCTCTTATATTTATAGAAATTATCTGGATTACTATTTAGAAGTGTTTTTAAACCTTAAATTATTTCTGAATTAAAGGAAATAACATTTTGGAATGCTTGTGCCTCAAGTGTAGAACTAGGAATTTTACATTTATCATTTCCTTTATCCTTAAAATAAATTGGTATAGAAGTAATTATTGCATGTCACTTACTGAGGCAGCAGGCCTCAGGAAGTTCACTGACTTGCTCTGAATCACACAGTAAATAAGATGCCCAAACACTGGCTCAAATATTGAGACTATTTCTATTCTACTTTCCTAAGTTACCTTTTGGTAAGGAGCTTTTCATTTAGAATGACAAAAAGAAGGAGTTTTTTAAAACATTATTGTTAAAACTCAGTTGCTATTTCCAGTTCCTCCAAAGGTTCAGCGTGGCCCTAAACTTATGAAGGTACAAGCTGGTCAAAAAGTGGATATTCCATGTAATGCTCAAGGAACCCCTTATCCAGTGATCACCTGGTTTAAAGGCGGAAGTGCCTTACTGGTTGATGGAGTGCGGCATATTAACCATCCAGATGGAGCATTAAGCATTGACCAAGCCACCCTTTCAGATACTGGCATATATACATGTGTTGCTACTAACATAGCAGGCAGTGATGAAATGGAGATCACGCTACATGTCCAAGGTGATTTTTGGCACAGAAAAATATATGTATGGTAGGAGGGTGGGGAAATACCCCTGGAGTCTATTATGGTCTTGGATCACTTTGGTATGAGTTTTACCTAATTTTTATGATTCTTTAGTTAATTCTGAAAGGGAAACCATTCCAGAAAGTAATGAAAATAACTAGTACTTAACCTGCATCAATTTTAGTATGTTTATTTTTGAAACTGATGTTGCCATGGATGATGTAGATAATGGAAATGATCCCAGATAAATGACCCACCCACAAGTTTGTTTGGGGAGAAATTGTGGGCATGGTGAGCTAGAGAAGGATTTTACCTGGTAAAATACACTGTAAATTGATCCCTAGGAAATCTGGGTCTGCCATAGCCTGTATTGATGTGGCTTTGTTTTGAGGGTTTAAAGATCAATATTGATTCCTTTAAGCAACAAATCTCTATTGAGCGTCTGTTATGTGTCTGCCATGTTCTAGGAACTGGAGAGAAAGTAGTGAAAAAAGTCAAAGCCTCTGTTCTCATGAGCTGCTCTAGTGTGAATAGACAAACAGCAAACAAGCAGGAAAATATGGATAAAATATGGGTAGTGAGGAATTGTGTGTAGAAAATGAAAATTATGTTAATGATTCAGGGACTTGGCTGTTTGTATTGCCAAGTAGGACTCTCTGAGGAAGTGGTATCTATAGTGAAATCTTACTGACTGGAAGGAACCAGCCATGTGGAAATCAGAGAACACCAAGGCAAGTAGCAAACGTAAGCAGGTATAGTATTTAGCACCTTATTTAGTAGTTAGTACCTGACACACTCCAATACTTTTTAGATGGACGGCTAAGACACTATTGGAGAGTTTATTTAGCTCATTCATTCACTCAATAGATTTTATTGAGTGCTTATGTTTATAGTCTAGTGGAAAAGATAGGTATTTATAAAATCACCTTACAAGTACTGAATTATAGGCTAATTAGTGTCATCATGAAATGGGAAAGGTCTATGAGATTTTAACAGAAAGACAAATCAGAGAAGTCTTCCCTAAAGTAGTGACATTTGAGATTTGAAAGATGGGTAGAAGTATATTAAATGAGGGGTGAGGTTGGGGTGGAGTGGAGTAGGGAGAATGTTCTAGGGTAAGAAAGAACATAGAATATGAAAAGGATGGCATGTGATATTTTGGAGACACTGGCATAAAAACATAAATAAAAGCTAGCTGGCTGCATTCTAGACTGAGTGAAGAGTGGAAGGTGATGAAGCTGGAGACATAATTATGAGCTAGATTATCCAACCAAGGAACCCAAATTAAGGAGTCTAGACTTTATTCTAGTGCAATGAAAAGAATTCAAAGGGTTATAACCAGGAAAGTTATATTTCTGATTTAGGATTTTAAGAGATCACTCTTTGGCCTAGTGTTAGGGTTATGGTTAGTATTAGGGCTTGGAAGGGGGCTAGAGAAGGTGAGGAGAAATAGCTGTAGACTGCTGAAGTAGCTCAAATAAAAGATTATGGCAGTTGGACAGGGAAGGTGGTGATTAAGGAAGAAGTGAATAGGCTTGAGATAATTAGGAGATGAAGTAATCACAACAGAGTGATGGATTCCATATGAAGAGTGAACAAGAGGAAGACCTCAAGAATGACTTCTAATTTTTTTTCATGAAATGGATGGATGGCAGAGCTCTTTAGTGTGATAGGATGCACTGACAAATAACCAGTTCTAGGACTTTATTCTATAGATAAAATGAGTACATAAAATGATTTTAATCAGGAAAGCCATATGATGAGATTTGTGTTTAAGAGAATTCTGACTGCAGTACATACAGAATGTCAGTCTAAAGAGAAATAAATATGTTTGAGGAAAGGACGCCAATAAGGAGTCTGTTGAATTAGTTCTGGTAAATGAAAGTAAGACTTTTAAATAAGCAGTGACCTTAGAATAGAGAGGCAGCTATAGATATGGTAATAAAGGAATGATGGTACTTATTAGTGACCAATAGGATGCAGAAGTTAGAAGTAAAGGAGAAAAACATAACAATGACTGGGTGGAGCATGATGTCTTAACTGAGGGAAGAAAGGAAGGGAAGCAAGATTGTAAGAAGCATGAAATGATGAATTTTGAGGGATCATTTTGAGTTTAGGTTCACAAATGTCATACATCTGGAAATATAAGTCATATTGATGATGTCTCAAGAGAGTGAAATCTCACAAGGAAACCCTGGTATTAATGCATTTATTTTTTCTGATAGAACCACCTACACTGGAAGATCTTGAACCTCCATATAACTCTCCATTCCAAGAAAGAATGGCTAATCAACGTATTGCATTTCCATGCCCTGCAAGAGGTGTGTAATACTTGAAAAGATAAACATTGGTATACTATTATATTGCTCAGAACTCTATACTGAACTGAAAACTGTTTTTTTAAACTGCCGTCATTGATCCTTATAATAATACTTGAGAACCATAAAAAATAATTCCTCTTTTAGATGAAAACTCTATGAATAGATATTTTTCCCTCCCAATTACTGTCCTGCAATGGAAAGACCTCCTGTTCTTTCAAACCTGACCCACCTAAGTAAGCTTTCCAGGTAGCTCATGCTCCTTCCTAGTTTATTCTGTTTTGGCAAGGTTTCTCTTTGAAATGTGACATCTAGAATTATCCAGTATATTCTAGATATGTCTCAAACAATCTGAGGTATAAATGAGGACTTTCCCTTTGTTTGTTCTGGACACATCTTTTCTAAAAACTTCTTTTCCTAGATTTACCCTCTACTGGTAATAGGATCAGGTTGCCACTCAGTTCCTAAGACTTATAAGTCCTCCTCTCCCTTAATGTCTAGGCTTCCTATCATACCATATTTTCTGGCCAGAGAAAGTTATTCTTCTCAGGAGTATGTATAAGAGCAACTGTCACTATCCGCAATACCCTGGATGCCATGTAGACCATCAAGGACATCCTCTCTTTTCATGTTTGCATTCCTCTGCCATGACCCACAATGGGTTGGCTGTGATTCTGAAAATGTTCGAGCAATATTCCTTCCATAACCTCCTAGAGGGTTTCAAGTGGTTTGTACCATTAGTCTTTCCACGTATGCCTTTAGCAGTTGTCCCTGGAGGCAACAATATTTGAAGGTTCTCGTGGTTCTCTCTGTTTCTGCAGCAAAGTTTTGCATCTCTCAACAGTAGTTCTCACCAATGATGACCCTATTTTATACCAACATAAAAATAAAGTGACTTTACAAAGCTTTCTGGACATCTCACAAATAATCAGTAACTATTCCTAGAGTAAAGGATCTCTAGTGGCGTAATGGTTAAAGTAGTCAGCTGCTAACCAAAAGGTCAGCAGTTCAAACCCACCAGCTGCTCTGCAGGAGGGAGATGATCCAATCTGCTTCTGTAAAGATTTACAGCCTTAAAAACCCTGTGGGGAAGTTCTACTCTGTCGTATAGGATCTCTATGAGTAGGAATCAACTTGATGTTTCCGAGGTGGAATCACTAAAGAAGTAGATTGCCCAACCTTCCTTCCAAGGAGTAGCTGGTGGGTTTGAACCACCAGCCTTCTGGTTAGCAGTCAAACAAATGCCTTAGGCACTACACCACCAGAGTTCCTTTATTCCCAGATTGAGTAAGAATTAGGGAAGCAAGGCCAAGAGAGGAAACCTTCTTTGGAAGTTCTAACTTCAGATAAATACTGTGGTGGTCACTACTGCTAAATGCCAACCAATAGCACAGTTGCTTCTTGGTTTCCACCAGACCCTTGCCTCCTGAGTTACCTTCTTTGTTTTGACTTCCTTTTTCCACTTTGTAAAACTCTCTCTTCCTAGTTCACCATTGTGACCTGGGTGGGTTATAATTATGGAGTTCATTAAAAACAGCTAAATACCCTTTATCTTTTTCTGAGTTTCATCTCAATCATGAAATTAAAGTAGTACAACTTTGTTTTCTGTTTGTCACTTATTTTTTCTTTCACTACCTCAACAAGTGTTTATTGAGAAATAAGATGGAAATGCATAAGGAATAAGTAATATAAAAGAAGATGATGTAACTGTAACTCCTTTTTGTCCTTGACATTAAATGTACTTCTGAATGGCATTATGAAACAACATGAAAAGACATCTGGAATCCAGTAGTTTTGTCTTCTTTCTCTTCAGCAGTTGTTGTTGTTGTTGTTGTTATGTGCCATCGAGTCAGACCCAACTCATAGCGACCCCTCCTTGGGTTTCTGAGGCAATATCACTATGGCAGTAGATTGCCCCATCTTCCTTCCGAGGAGTGGCTGGTGGGTTTGAACTGCCAGCCTTCTGGTTAGCAGTCAAGTGCCTTAGGCGCTATGCTACCACAATTAGTAGGCCAATCTTTTTGCTTTATATCTTCCCATAAATATTATTTTCATGTTGTTGTTGTTGTTGTTATGTGCCGTTGAGTCAGCCCCGACTCATAGCGACCCCTCCTTGGGTTTCCGAGGCAGTATCACTACGGAAGTAGGATTGCCCAACCTTCCTTCTGAGGAGTGGCTGGTGGGTTTGAACCGCCAGCCTTCTGGTTAGCTGTCAAGTGCTTTAGCCACTATGCTACCAGAGCTCCCATTATTTTCATAGACACTTTTAAAAGTCCTTAACTTAATTTGATGTTAGCCTTAATGGCACATTCTATGTACTCATGCCATTCTTTTGTGCTTGTCCTTGATTATTTATCCATCTTTTAATATTTTATTCTATTTTAATATTGCATTACTAGAGGTTGGGCAATCTCCTTCTGTAGTGATACTGCCTTGGAAACCCAAGGAGGGGTCTCTATGAGTCAGGTGCGACTCGGCAGCACATAACAAAGTAATGTTCTAGTAACATTAATTTTATTTACTGTGTTTTCTTTTTATCATTATAGAGGAGATTAAGTAAATTTTTAAAATTCTTAGAATAGTGCCTGGCACATTGTTTGCCTAATAAATAAATTCTTAGTATATAGTTAATGTTTGTCTATTTCCAGTATGTCCTTTTGGGTCCATTATGCACACTAAGATTTTTTTTTTTATCACTTTTACTTATGAGCATATCACTTCCATACACTTTGTTGAATATAACTTAATCCAGAAAAGCAACTCCCCTCATTGATTTCTCAACTTTCTTTTCTTTTTTTTTAATTTCAATTGTGATTTGGGTGAAAGTTTACAGAGCAGATTCGCTTTCCATACAGCAGCTGACATACTTTGTATCATGACATTGACTGCAATTTCCCACAATGCAACAGCTTCCCTCCCACTTCCTTCTCATAGTTACCTCTTCCCTGTGTCCTTCCCTCCCATGCACTCCTGCCCCCCGAGCTGTCTCCCTGTGTATACCCTGCCCTTCTATTCTCCCATGATTGATCTCTCCAAGAAGTATATCTACTTAATGTAAATGTTCAGCTCATATGCTTGTCTTTTGTTTGAGTGGGTTCAATTCCAGACCTGAAGGACAGCTAGGGACCATAGTCTCAGTGGTTTCCTCAGGATCTATCAGACCAGCAAACATGGTGTTTTTTTTTTTTTTTTTTAATCATTTTGAGTTTTGTTCCACATTGCTCTTCCACTCTATCCAGGATCTCCTACATATACCGCCCCCCCCAGTGGTTGACAGTGGTAGCCGGGCACCATCTAGTACTTCTGGTCTCATAGTCATATAGGCTGAGGATCACATAGTATACCAGTCACTAGGACTACTTGTTTCCATGTGTCTTTGGTTTTCTTCATTCTTCTTTGCTCTGGCCAAGGAGAGACCCATCATTGCATCTAGATAGCTACTTGCAGCTTTTAAGATCCTAGTCACTACTCACCAAAGTAGGATGTGGAACAATGTTTTCGTGTAGTATGTTATGCCATTTGAGCTTGATGTGCCCTGGAACTATGGTCCTGAGCCCATAGGTTCAACTACTTAGTCCCTCTGGGTAGCTGGCTGTGCCCAAGAAGTGACTACAACCTTGTAACTTGTCAGCTCTACTGTGTACCTGAGAATTCTTACAAAACATACAAATACACTTGTAAAAACATTGTCTGCAAACCCTATACATGGTGATGGGCTCAATCTCCCCTGTTAGACATACCTAATAGCTCAGCCTGTACACCCATCTGTCCACTGTTATATCATTGTTTGCCTTCATTAACAACACAGTACTCTATGTGCGAAAGGGTTCATCTTGTCTGTACCTCCCATAAACTTCTCTCTGTCTTTCTCTTCATTGACTTCTCAACTTTCTTTTCTGTATAAAAAGCCAACAATTGCTCTCTTGTCCTATTTTTACCTAAATGAGCTATCAAGATGTGTAGATAGTAGAAGTTCTTCATCTCTGCCAAATCAGGCCTGTTTAAATGGTGTTTTATGTATACACATTCTGTATACCGTTTCTGCACTCTACTTGGTTGGGCTACCTTTACATTTTATTTCTGTGGAAATACCTTATTTTTGCTCTTCATTTGTCCTCACCCAAAAACCTTCTCCATATCTACTCTATTTGCTGAGCACAGTTTCTTGGCCCCACTAGTCATCATGAAAAAGGAGCTCTGATGGTAAAGTGTCTAAGGCATCTGATAGCTAACTAGAAGGTTGGTGGTTCAAACCCACCACTCACTCTGCAGAAGGAAGACTGGGCAATCTACTTCTGTAAAGATTTAACACCTCAGAAACCCACTGGGAGTCCTTATGAGTTAGAATGGACTGGATGGCTGAGGGTTTGTTTTTTTTTGGATTGGTTAGCATCATGAAAGGAGCTTTGGTTGCACAGTGGTTAAGGCATTCATTTGCTAGCTGAAAGGTCAGCAGTTTGAACCTCCAGCTGCTCCACAGGAGGAAGATGAGGCGGTCTGCTCCTATAAAGATACACAGCCTTGGGAACCCTATGGGACAGTTCTACTGTGTCCTATAAGGTTGCCGTGAGGCATAATCAACTTGTCAGCAGTGGGTTTTGGGTCATCGTGAACTCAAGAAAATGTTTTGTTTAATTTTATCTGAATGTCTTGATAAAAATAACTTAGATAAAATTTTATTCTAATGTCTTAGGTATCTTAAGAATAATTAGGAATTATAAGTTTTAAATACCACAATTCTTCAAATTTTCATGCCGGGAGAAATATCTTGAAAGTAGTACAGTATTGAAGGGCACAATTTATAATCATGATAATAATTTTATTTCTTTTCAGTGTATTTGATAAAACCAAAAAAAAAAAAAAAACCTGACTGCCGTCGAGTCGGATCTGACTCATAGCGACCTCTGACTCATAGCGACCCCTCCTTGGGTTTCCGAGGCAGTATCACTACGGAAGTAGGATTGCCCAACCTTCCTTCCGAGGAGTGTCTGGTGGGTTTGAACCGCCAGCCTTCTGGTTAGCAGTCAAGTGCCTTAGCCACTATGATGTCAATTGCCCAACCTTACTTCTAAGGAGTGGCTGATAGGTTTGAACCACCAGCCTTCTGGTTAGCAGTCAAATGCCTTAGGGACTAAGCCACCAGATCTCCTATCCTTAATAATGATTGCTAATTTTGTTGCAAAAATATCGCAAGACTTTAATTTCCTACTTAGGTACCCCAAAACCAACCATCAAATGGCTGTATAATGGCAGAGAGTTGACAGGCAGTGAGCCGGGTATTTCTATCTTGGAAGATGGTACATTATTGGTCATCGCTTCAGTTACACCATATGACAATGGCGAGTACATCTGTGTGGCAGTCAATGAAGCTGGAACCACAGAAAGAAAATACAGCCTCAAAGTCCATGGTAAATATGGATGTATACACTAAAATCATATAATTGGATATGTGCATTTTCAAATTTTTATATATTTAAATTATCCCCTCAATGTAATATTATGTAATATTAATGTGAATAGAAGCATTATCAAACAGGAAACTGGTGATCTAGTTGCATATATTTATTTATAAGCATTATAATTTCATGTAATCTTTCATTAAGTATTACTTTATATCATTCAAAATTCAAATGGTGTACAAAGATACATAGATATATAGTGAAAAGTCTTTTGCTTTGAGAAATAGAGGCAAAGAAAGTTATGAGTTGTGTGTGTGTGTGTGTTTGTGTCTTACCAGACAGTTTATGCCTATACAAGGAAATATAAATATATAATATTTTACCCTCTTTTTTAAACATAAAGTACACATATGGTAGAATATTACATACATCATTCTATGTTTTATGTGTTTCACTTGATAATTGATCTTGAGGGATTATCCAATATTCCTAACTCTTATTTATACTTATGTAGCATCTCACTGTATGGCAATATCATGATTTATCTAACCTTCCTCTAATAATTATGAACATTTAGATTATTACCATTTGTTTGCCATTATAAGTAATGCTGAAGTGAAAATCTTGTACATGTGTCATTTTGCATGAGTCAAGTTCTATGTCCATTTAAAAATTTGATAAATAATGGCTTCCATAGACACCAGGCAACATTCACGCCCATCAGCAATGAGCACCTTAATTAAGGCTCTTGTTGTTTGTTTTTTGAGTGGTGTGTGGAAAGGATAGATTTATTTTAAGTTTCTCCCTTAAATGTATCATAACTTTTATCCTACATTCAAAACTCTGAAATCTTAATTAAAATAAAATGCAATAAGCATTGTTATTTATAAGTATATTACTCAAGAATATTTCATTTTATAATGATGCACTTGCATTATTGCTAGCCTTTCTAGCTATCAGATATCTAGATGTAGAGAATATTTATAAATAATATTTATTATAAATAATCTGGTCATGACTTACCTCCTTTTTTTTTTGTAGTACCTCCAGTAATAAAAGATAAGGAACAAGTAACAAATGTGTCAGTGTTGCTAAATCAGGCGACCAATCTCTTTTGTGAAGTTGAAGGTACTCCATCTCCTATAATTATGTGGTATAAAGATGACGTCCAGGTAATTGTAGACCTCCAGATATGTACAATTCCTGCCTTACTGTCTCTGAAATAAATTTTTTATTATCAATTCCTTATGAATAATAATATAAGTTATCATTCAATTTCTAATTATGCATTTTTATTAAGATTGGAAATAACATTGACCATTTTGGCCTTCAAAGGTGACTGAAAGTAGCACTATTCAGATTGTGAACAGTGGGAAGATACTAAAACTCTTTAAAGCCACTCCAGAAGATGCAGGAAGATATTCCTGTAAAGCAATTAATATTGCAGGTACTTCTCAGAAGTACTTTAACATTGATGTGATAGGTAAGTAAAACATCCTTTTGAAAAACTACAATTCAGATGCTTTTTTTTTTTAATGTAGGTCTCACCTGAGTGTATGAAAGAGTGAAAAAAAAAATAAAGTGATAGGAGAAATATTACTTGTTTCACCATATTACTATTGCTATCATTAATATTGGTTAGTCAAAAATATATGATATGGAAGGCTTAAAGGCATTTGTTATCTGTCACATGAAGAAGTCTGACATTTCATCCTATGCTGTGTTTAAAATAGTGAATTATTACTCTGTCAATTTCTTCAGTTTGATGTGCAGGAAATACTTGAGGGAGAAACTATAATTGATAATGCAAGGTAGAACTCATTCATGCTGTTGATGTCTCTTGAAGCCACTGCTAGTTCGTAGTTGAACTGGAAATAGCAGCAAATCTACCTACCCCTGCATTATAATTCATTCTTGTAAACTAAATTACTTCATCCTTGATTCTGGTTAATGGGAGAAAATGCTGAGAATGGGTGGCAGCTGAAATAATTTGAGATATAAAACCTATGAAAGCCAGAACTTGTGTGAAGTGGAAACCTATCAGACAAGGAAAACACAAATATTTTCCACTAACAGAAAGCTGTAGAGAAGTGCTAAGACTACACCCTTAGGCAGAAAACTTGTGAGATCAAGGCAGTCCCATTGAGTTCTGATTCTCATGGGTTTTACTGTATCTAATATTCTCCACTGTATCTTGACTTGAGTATCTTAGTGACATCTCACACAGGAGGATCTCAATGAAGCATCTGTTCTGATCTTCTCCACAGTCCCCATTGCAGTGACCAGCACCTCCATCCATCCACTTGCTTCTGCCAGAATCTGGGACTCATTCTTCCCACCTCCATCTCTCCAACTCCTTAAATCTACCTGTATCCTGTTCCTTCTACTTCCATTCTGTTTTAAATTATCTAGTTTTTTTTTTTTTTTTTTTTCCATTTCCACTGTGAAAGGATCATCAGGAATTAAGCAAACTAATGTTGTTGTTGTTATTTGCCGAGTCGGCCCCAACTCCTAGCGACCTCTCCTTGGGTTTCCGAGGCAGTTATCCAATATTATAGCCTCCTAACTGCTGCCTGGGTGGTGCAAATGGTTAAGGCACTCGGCTACTAACCCAAAGGCTGGCAGTTTGAATCCACCTGGAGGTGTCTGTAACAAAGGCCTAGTGGTCTACCTCCAAAAAATCAGCCATTGAGAACTCTGTGGAGCACAGTCTACTTTAACATACATGAGGTCACTATGAGTTGGGGGCGACTCTAAGGTGACTGGTTAATTGCTTCCTGCATCCATTCTTTGCCACTCCAAACCACTCTGCATTCAGCAGCCTATGTGGTCTTAAAATGCAAATATGATCATATCTTAACCCTATTTAAACCCTTTAATGGCTGACCATTGTTCTGAAGATGAACCAAACACCTTAACATAGAGTATGTATGAAGAGAGAGAATTGGATGGTTAGGCAAGTGTATAAAAACTCTTTAATATGATTGATAATTCCATGAATAAAAACTAGCATCTTCTTTTTCATGTACGTAGTTGAACTGGAAATGGCAGCAAATCTACCTGCCCTGCATTATAATTAATTCTTGTAAACTAAATTATCCAATTTTAGCTTAAAGAGCCCTTAAAAGGTGTCAAGCAACACTGTAGTATAATTTGTAGAATTTACTATATCATTCTTCATGATCTAAAATACATATCAGAAGTAAATTGCATTATATCAACTTCACTGCTCATTTACATTCTAAATCCCTGTTACACATGGATTTAATACGCCTCAAGATGAATTCTCTACTATCATAATTTAAAAAAAAATTTATTGTGATTTGAATAAAAGTTTACAGAGCAAAGTCATTTTTCATACAGCAATCCTTACACATTTTGTTTCATGACATTGAATGCAACCCCCACAACCTAACAGGTCTCTTCTCACTTCCTCCCTGTAGTTAACCTCTTCCCTGTGTCCTTTCCTATGCACTCCTGCCCCCTGAGCCATCGCCCTATGCAAATACTGCCCTTCTGTTCTCCCATAATTGATCAATCTAAGGTGTGTATCTACCTTATGTAAATGTTCACCCTATATGCCTGTCTGTTGTTTGGCTGGAAGCCATGGGAGTGAGTTCAATTCCAGGCGTGAGGGGTAACTAGGGACCATAGTCTTAGACATTTCACCATACTATCATAATTCTTCCAGGGAATTGTCCTGCTAGCAAATCTTTCATGAATGTGTTCTGATGATTAAACTTAACCTTGTCCTTAAATTTAATGGCAATGATTTGAAGACGGATTATCATGTGCTATTTTGTTTTGAATGTTAAATATTGATGAAATGTTATAGAAGCCATTGATTATCTGCTTTCTCCACCTCTTTTTGCTAAGTCATAGATTTTCATGATAAAATATCTTTGTGCAAGTTCCACCCACTATACTAGGTGCCAACTCTCCAAATGAAGTCTCAGTTGTCCTCAACCATGACACTACCCTTGAATGTCAGGTCAAAGGCACTCCCTTCCCTGTTATTCACTGGTTCAAAGATGGCAAGTAAGTAACTTTTCTTTCTTTCTTATTGAAGTCCAGTTGATAGGAAGTAGATGTATAAATGTGTGTACCACATAGAATATAATTAAATAAGCATGAAGTGAAAACAGTAGTCCTAAAAAAAAGCCAGTTATCCTTAAGTCTCATAATACCTTTCATTGTTATGAGTTTCCAGACTATAAATGCCGGTGATTTATTTTAGAAACATAAATATTTTCTGTCCAAAGTTTAGTAATAAAATAGGAATTATTTTAAAAAAAAACAGATGTGATTATGATACCAAGATGAGTATGTCAGATAGTTCTATACATGGAGAAAAACAGAATCACAGAAGAGTAATCAGATTCTGCACAGACTGCAAGTCTTAAGGGTTGCTAAAGTTTTCCATATTAAAACAGCACTGTAGGTTGTGAGAGCTCTTTCCTCACAGTGTGGTCAGAGTTTGTATGTTATTATAGCTTCTTGAGAGTAGGTATCTGAGCCCCAAGGCCAAAGGGTAAATATTTTCAGCATATGAAATAGGGGATTGTATACAGCTTCTTACAAATCAGTAAGACCAGCAACAGGATAGCAAAATATATAGAGGGTATGAACGGACAATTAAAAAAAGAAATAAAATATTAGGCAATAAACAAATTTAAAGATGTTCATCCTTAATAATTAGGGTAATATAGATGAAAACAATAAGATTTTGTTTTTCACAGATCAGACAGGAAAAAAAAACAGATTTGAAAATAACAAGTGTTGACTAGTGTGTTGAAAATTGAGATGGAGTACTCTGATGGGGAGTGTGTACATAAGTATGCTGAAGAGCAATTTGTTGACATCTATTAAAATTTGAAATGCTCATATGCTGTCAACCAGTAATTACACTTTGAGTATCAACTAAATGGAAGCAGCCATGTATGTCCACAGAGAGGCTTGTACAGTGATAGTCACTGCAAAGTTGCAATGGCAGAAAAGTGAAAACTACCTAATCGCCAGCCATTAGGGGTATGTGAGATAATTTATTATGAAGTATAGTGATATATAGGAGCTCTGGTAGCATAGTGCCTAAGGCACTTGACTGCTAACCAGAAGGCTGGCGGTTCAAACCCACCAGCCACTCCTCGGAAGAAAGGTTGGGTAATCCTACTTCCATAGTGATACTGCCTCGGCAACCCAAGGAGGGGTCGCTATGAGTCGGGGCCGACTCGATGACACATAACAACAACAACATAGTGAAATATTGTACAGCCATTAAAGAGTAAGATCAAGCTATGTGTAGTAAAAATACCAGCAAAAAAGGGGAAGACCTTCAATGAGGTGGATTGACACAGTGGTTAAAATGATGGGCTCAAGCATAGCAAGGATTATGAGGATGGCTCAGAACTGGGCAGTGTTTTGTTCTGTTTTGCATAGAGTCACTATGAGTCAGAACCAACTCATTGACACCTAACAACATTGTTGAGTGAAAAGAAAAGCTGAGCAACAACATGGTACCATTTATGCATTAAAATTTTACTGTTCTTTGGTAATATAATTATGGGTGAAAATTAATAGAAAAATGTGAAAGAATGCAAACCACATTGATGACAGTAAGAGGAGTCTAGAAAGAAGACTCACATAAGGGTAATACTCATTAGGGTAATAAGAGATCTACTCTTATGGGGACCTCTGGTGGTGTAGTGCCTAAGGCATTTGACTGCTAACCAGAAGCTTAGTGGAAGGAAGAGTGGGCAATCTGCTTCCATAAAGATACTGCCTTGGAAACCCAAGAAAGGGTCACTATGAGTCAGATTTGACTTCATGGCAGTGAGAGTGAATTTTTACTCTTATTATGTGGCTTTTATTTTTTTGCTTATTTTTTTTTTCCTTGAATAATTAACACAATAAAAGCTTTAATTTTATTTAAGTAAGTTACTTAGATTTTAATAACATTATTAAATATTCACTTCCTGCAATGAATTGAAATGTATTAAGCTATGGTACTTTATTCTCTTAACTCTTGAGAATTTTGTTCAGTGTCATAAAGCAAAATGGGTGGGGGGGGGTGGTGTCTTCTTCTGACCTCCTCCAGCTTCACAAAGGGAAGAGAGAAAGATCAACATCAACAGCCCAAAGCTGATTACTATGGGGCAGAAGTCAGACAAGCTGCCACCGTCAAACCTTTTTAACAATTCTGACACCAACTATCCCCCTATGGCATCTACTTCTCTGCTGGGTTTGATAATTCATTGCAGTGGCCACTCAGAGCTCACAGACAATATTCTTAACTATGGGGTTTGTTAGGGAAGTAACAGGTGAGATTCAGGGTCAGGAATGCGCAGATCAGGAGAGCCTCTCTGCTGCCATGCCCTCAGGCATTCCTGTCATTGGCCCAAGGCCTCTAGGTCTGACCTCCGCCCTGGTCAGGCAAGTGTTACAAAGCTCTTTTAACTCTGGGATAGGTGCACCAAGGTGCACCCCACTCTGCCAGCAAGCCTCCTGCCTAAAGGCACTCAGCTTTCTCGTTCCATGGGCTGACTGGTCCACAGTCTCTTGGTTCTATTGCTGCTGTCTGTCTGTCAGGTCAGGTCAATGACTAGCTCTTCTCCAAACCTTTTCATGGGAGTGAGATTCCTTTTCTGCCTCTGGGGGACTCATTTTCAGCTTAGTAGACTGACAAAACTAACTAAACCCCACATTAGGATTCCATACACCTTATTTCTGTGACCCCACCCCCACAAGGCTGCCATGTACCTTATTTACTTTACTAACAAATTATGCAGTCTCCTTGGTGGGCCACAAGCACCTTACATTTGCATGGTTCCACCCAGTAATCTGGTGGGAGTCAGAAAGACCGTGGCTAGAAGAGTTATACTAAATAATTCACTGCAATGCACATACCAGGAAATAGTAAAGTATACTACCATAGAAAGTTAAATGTGTTTTACATTTAATCGTGTAATCTGACTAGTGGTTTATTAATATAAGAAGCCTTCTAATTTTAATTTATCATGTGGTTAATTCAGTGAAACTTTTTAACAACTGACTACAGGCTTTCAAGGTAACACTCTTAGGATATCACAGAGTTTAATAAACATGATGTTTCAAATATTAAAGTTGCTGCCAATATGAGTGACCATTTTGTAATTGTCAATAACTAATTATAGTAGAAAAAGACTTCCTGACAACTGTATATAACCTACTATACTCTTTACAAGCTCTTTTAATATTTATGATTATAAAAGCATTCATCTATTTAAAAAAAAAGTTTTTATGATCATTGCCTTTAGTAGATAATAATCATTCAGTTGTGAATACTTTTCCAGATATCATAATGATATTAGTTTAAATGTAGCATTTCTTGGTCTGAAATTACTGTAGTGTAATATTAAACTTAGTTTCTCTTTTCTAAATGATGGTATAAATTTTGGCTATGCAAACCAAAAAAAATAAAAAGATGAAGAATAGATGAATGAATGAAGCAAATAATGGCACTTTAAGGTTTTTATTAATATTAATGAACAGTTTTAGATTTTAAATGGAGTAAATTTTCATCCCAAAATGATAATTATCTAACTTCCATTATTAAAAGTGATTGAAGAATTTCATTCTTCTGCGTAGTAGTTACCTATCACATCACTGTATTTTTTAATCAACTTTGATTAATATATTTTACTTCAAATTGCTTATTTTTGTTGTGATTGTTAAGAGAGGAAACATACTAAAATAAAAATAGATCCATGGAATAAAATATTATTTTCTTCAGGCCTTTGTTTTTGGGAGACCCTAATATTGAACTTCTAGACAGAGCACAAGTTTTACGCCTAAAGAATGCACGAAGAAATGACAAGGGGCGCTACCAATGTGCAGTGTCTAATGCAGCTGGCAAACAAGCGAAGGATATAAAACTGACTGTCCATAGTAAGTGGGATTTGTCTTATGCTTTTTTATTTTTATAAACTCTCATTAAAAATTGAAAGTGATCTAGTGTTAAGTGCTTTTTTATTCATTATTGAATATTTAAAATGCAAATTACTTCAGGAGGAGAAAAAACCTTCGTTAGTATGTTTTAGAATAAAATGTTGCATCCAGTTTTAAAGTATTTTATCATTGTTGTTAGTTGTCAGCAAGTTGATTCTGACTCATGGCAACTGACCTAATTGTGCAAAACAGAACTACTCTACAGGGATTTCAAGGCTCTGACCTTTTGGAAGCAGTTTGCTAGACCTGTTTGGCGAGGTGCCCCTGAGTGGGTTTGAACTCCAGCCAGTAGGGGAATGCTTAGAGTTTTCTCCAAGTCATTTTTGTATGGTCTTACTTAAGAGGTCAAGTATTTTCTAATTGGTTACCTTATACATAAAGCAAATATTTGTACACTCCTCATTTCACCACAATTCTCTATGTCTTCTGTGGGAACCAAGGTCATTTTATTTTATGGATAGCACTTTAAGAAAATGCATAAACCTCTTAGCACACAGATTTATACAATAGGAAGGAATAGAATCCAATAGACTATATGTTAAGTGTAGCTCTACTCACTGCCCTACATTCTTTCTCTCCATCGAGGATGACACTCAAGAAAACCTTAGATTTTTCAGAATGTCATCTCTTCACAGAGGCCTTCCTAATCTGAAGTAGTTACCCAATCACACTCTCTTAGATTATCCTGTTTCTTTTTCCTCATAACACAGAACTATTTGCGGGATAATTTCTTATTTTGGGGTTTATTTGTTTATTTGCAGTTTCTCCTCAAAGAAGGTACAGTTTACAGATGCAAGGACCTTGTTTTTCATGTCACTACTATAGTCACTGTCAAGTCAATTCTGACACAGAGTGACCCTGTATGACAGAATAGAACTGCCAAATAGAATTTCCAAGGCTCTAAATCTTTATGAAAGCAAACTGCCACATCTTTCTCCCCAAAGAGCAGCTTTTAGGTTCGAGCCACTGACCTTTTGGTCAGCAGCTGAGCACTTAACCACTGCACTGCTAGGGCTCCAATATTATTGTAGTCTTAGTCCCTAGTTAAGTGTCTGGTACATGGTAGCTATCAAGAAAAATGTGTTAAAAGAATGAACAATATGGTATCCACTAGCCATGTGTGGCTGTTGAGCACTTAAAATGTGGCTAGTCCAAATTGAAATGTGTTGGACTACAACAAGTGTGTTGTTGTTGTTGTTATATGCCATTGAGTCGAACCCAACTCATAGCTACCCCTTCTTGGGTTTCTGAGACAGTATCACTACAGAAGTAGATTGTCCAATCTTCCTTCTGAGGAGTGACTGGTGGGTTTGAACCGCCAGCCTTCTGATTCAAAGTCAAGGGCCTTAGGCATTATGCTACCTAAGCACCATATATTGTTACTGGGTGCTACATCAATTTTTGACTCATAGGAACCCCTGTGACAGAATAAAAGTGCCCCATAATATCTTTGTGGCTGTAATCTTTATAGGAGTAGATCAAGCACTTAGATTCCAGGTAGATACCACACATCCAAAACACACAGATATCAAAGTAAAAATATGTAAAACATCTAATTAATAACTTTTATATATGGAAGGCGCTCTGGTGGCATAGTGTCTAAGGCATTTGACTGCTAACCCGAAGGTTGGCAGTTCAAACCCACCAGCTGCTTCACAGAGGAAGATGGGGCAATCTATATCTATAAAGATTTACTGCCTTGAAAACCCAATTGGGATCACTATGAGTTGGAATTGACTTGATGGCAGTAGGTTTTTTAAAATTGATTCCAGGTTGAAATGATATTTTGGATATCTTAGGTTAAGTTAAATATATCATTAAAATTAATTTTACCTGTTTCTTTCTATGATTTTAATGTGACTATTAGAAAATTTAAAATTATATATATATATATATATATATATATATCTTGCATTATACTTCAATTGGGCAGCACCTGTTGGATGAATAAGACTTTAGGCTTTTGAAATGACACTTTTGGTTTCACACCCAACCTCTACCACTTACCAGCTTTGAGACTTTGGATCAATCACCTAATCCCTTTGAGCTTCAGTTTCCTTATCAATAAAATCAGGATGGCATTAGTACCTAGTTAATAGTGTTATGTGAAGATTAAATGTTAGATATTTTTAAATGGATTACATAGTTTATAGTAAAAGTTCAATAGATTTTAATCATTTGACACTATCTACATCATGATTGTTTTGTATTAAAACTTGAAATGCATATAGGATCAAGCTTAATATGTTTTTCCCTTACCTGCATTCTAGATCTCCCTTTTTATAAAAACGTTAACACATTTATATCAATTTTGAATTGCTTTCTTGAATCAATGAAATTTAATTTAATGCAGGCTTTTAAATCATTTCCATCTATAAATAGAAGCCTGTGGAAGAAATCAGTAATAAAAAGATGTATGCTCCAAAAGAGTGACATTACTGGAAGATTAGCTATACAAGCATTCAGGTTAAACAAAAGTGTTATTGCTACCATCGGCCTACTACCAGAGCCAGCCATTTAAACAACAGGTGCAATATTTTCCCCAAGCTGTTGAGTAGTCTTCTCTGCACTATTGTATTGTTGCCAGGCTCTGTGATGTGTACATTTTGGTGATTCAGTAAGACTCCCATTTGCATGGGACTTGACAGCCAGTCCTCGGAAGGAAGGTTGGGCAATCTACTTCCGTAATGATACTGCCTCGAAAACCCAAGGAGGGGTCGCTATGAGTCGGGGCCGACTCGACGGCACACAACAACAACACAACAACTCATTCTATCTGTAGGATGCCCTGAGGCATCTAGAAGAGAGAGCTCTATAATGATTAAAGCTCTGGGATTGTCTGAGATGAAAGGCATCATAACATGTGAAGTTTGGGTTATAATTCAGGAAATAATACCATTTCCTCTCTAGCAACCTTCAACTTCTGAGTGGGTAAGCTAAAGCTTACATTATTCACATTATATATATATAGAGAGAGAGAGACAGAAGAGAGAGAGAAAAAGAGTGCTCCGGTGGTGTAGTGGGTAAGGCATTTGCCTGCTAGCTAGAAGGTCGGTGGTTTAGAATCACCAGCTGCTCCGCAGGAGGAAGATGAAGCAATCTACTCCTGTATAAATTTACATCCTTGGAAACCCAATGGAAGTTGTTAAATGAGTAATCAACTCAATGGCAATGGATTCTGTGATATATATATGTCAGATACCATGCTTTGGTTGCCTGTCATGGATATTTATGCAGATTTCACATTGAGAGTGGAGTGTCTTGCACACTACAGGTAATTTATTTATTTTCTTTAAACATATACTAACATGTGGATAGAACTGTACATCTGCAAAATAGAAATACACAGTCAGCCTGAATCAGGAAAGAAATGAGAACAAAATAAAAGAGAGAAATAAGAGAGAGGGAGAGAGGAAAGAAGGAAAAAGAAAGAATGTGAAAGAAAGGAAATTATAGAGTTTTTAATAACTTATGGGGAGAATGTACACATTCACAACCAGTAGTTTTGAGCATTGGCTTTTAATGTGAGGTGTATATATGGACTTCTACAATCTGAGACCTTCTCCATGTTGTATAAAAATCTTTGTGCATATACAAATGAGTAAATTTTGTTATGCAGCCTGTCCATATCCTTTATCTATACTCCTCCACACAGAAGTATAGCTCTCAGGCAAGTATCTATGAATTAAAATGAAACACAAAGTGAAATATTTATTTGGTAAATCTAAGCAGTGAAAGATATGTTGTTTTACCATTAATTGAAAATGTTCTTTCGGTAATTTTTCTCAATTTCCTGAATAAAAGCTTTCAAACAGATTCTTTTCAGTGAAAATGTTATTCATTTGTAATATATTCATGAAGGATAAGGATTCTTTTGGACTTATATTCTTTATTCCTGAACCTGCCGATTAATTAAGTTAGCAGCTGATTTAGCAATTTGAGCCAAAAAATTGATTCACATTTACAAATTAACTTAACCATAATATAAAATCAAAATTCAAATTGAAAACCTGAATAAAATACTACTCTTAGCATTTCAGATAGTAGCTTGAATTTATTTCAGTTAATTGCAGAATTCAGTGACTTTTCTTGCAAAGGGCCAGATAAATATTTTAGGCTTTGCAGACCATGAGACAAAAGCAAGGATATTATGTAGTGGATACTTATATAATAAAGAGCCCCTGGTGGCATAGTGACTGCTATCCAGAAGGCTGTGGTGGTTCAAGCCCACCAGCCACTCCTCGGAAGGAAGATTGGGCAATCCACTTCCGTAGAGATACTGCCTTGGAAATCCAAGGAGGGGTCGCTGTGAGTCTAATCGACTTGACAGAAATGAGTTTGTTGAGCAAGAGGGAAAAGACATTTCCACAAATGATTTATTGATGAAATTCAAAATACAAGTCTACTAATAACAATGAAATTATTTTGGAGAGGGACAACATTCCACCCAATTGGAATTCAAAATGAGTATTCCCAGTCATCCAATTCTACCCTTTGTCAGTGTTTGTCATACTATGGTGGCTTGCATGCTGTTGTGAGGCTAGAGGCTATGCCACCAGTATTTCAAATAATAGCAAGGTCACCCATGGTGGGCAGGTTTCAGCAGACCTTCCAGGCTAAGACAGACTGGGAAGAAGGAAGGGGCCATCCACTTCTCAAAATACTGCCCAGTGAAAACCTTGTGAATATCAGTGAAACACTGGCTGATACATTACTGGAAAAATTTATGAATACCCTGAAACATTGTCTGATATAGCTGGAAGATGAGCCCCTCAGGTAGGAAGGCACTCAAGATATGACAGGTGAAGAGTTGCCTCCTCAAAGTAGAGTCACTCTTAATGATGTGGACAGAGTAAAGCCTTAGGGACCTCCAATTGCTGATGTGGCATAACTCAAAATGGGAAGAAACAGCTGCAAACATCCATTAATAATAAGAACAT